GGGCAAAGTACTCCCATTCTATTCTTATCAGTTGTTTTAAGAGAGTCTCATTCCCAAAGCACTTCTTTATGGAGAGGGCACAGGGTAAAACAGCCATTAACTGAGCAAAGTCTCTCACCTTTCCATTCACTATTAGGGTCTGTAGCAAAGGTGTAGTAAAGAGGCCCCACAATTTCATTCATCCCTTGTACATATGCTATCCCAGGGTTCAGCTTGGCATAGATGAACAGGATTCGCTCCACCACTTCCCAGTGAGCTTCACAGCCGTTGGGCAGAACTTCATACTCACTCAGAGTATTAGGTGTTGTTTTAAGGGGGGAGCTCACCTGAAAGCAAGACAAGACTGGGGCTGACCCAGCATAACCAGCTGGCACAGATAGCTTTGTACATGTGACAAGCTTGGCTTTTAAGACACAGTGGCCCCCAAAAGATTTAGGCAGCTTATACCAAGCAGGGAGGTGTTCACATAAACCAAGACAAGCAACTTGGGAAGCACAAAAGCAGTGATGTCCTAGTGCTGGGTACCCCTGAAGAACAAAGCAGTCTGTGCAGCAACAGAGAGCTCCCCTCAGTCATTGCACCACCTGATCCCATGCAGCAAGAAGCCACAGCAGTTCCACTTCTTTGTTAGTAGAATGAGGAAAAGCATAGCTCAGTTATGGTAACAAGCCACCTTCCCCAACAGCATGTAGCAGTCGTGCTGTAAGGCTCAGGAAAGAGACAACACCTATTTCAGCAGATTCAACACCAGTAAATTCCCCCTCCAGTGTTTTGTTCCCATACAGAAAGGCACATGTCAAGCATAAAACACTCAAATTTGCCTGCAACTCCAACTTCCTCCAGGAGTCATTAAATACATTAAATACACCTATAATTCCTTACTGTCAGGCACATCAACTGGTTCTACAAAGCTGTCCAGCCACCAGAACACACAGTGCCTGCTGGGCTATTTGCGTCATTCCACTGCAAGAAAAACAGCAGAAAAGCCCAGGAAACAGCCTTCCCTTATCAGCTAAGATGCCTTGCTCCCTGGCTCCAGCCTCCCTCTATCTCACATTTGTGACCCCGCTGCGGTTCCGTGCCACTGTCTGGGACTTGAGCGTTGTCTGCTCCACCCGCTTGCGCAGCGTCTCAAACTCGTTCTGGGGGTCCAGGATTAAAAGGCAGGGGTAGTCTGTTGGGCGCTGGAAGAATGCCATGTCAGGGTACAGCCTCCTAGGATGGACACAGAAGGAAATCAGGCATAAGAAAAGGAAGTCTGAGCCCCATGGAGGCTGGGTTTAATATTAAACTTTGTTTTCAAAGTACATTGTGTTAACTGAAGCACTGGGGTTCAAAGACCTGAGTCATTGTTCCTCACACACCTGACATCTTTATCTATCTGCAGAAGCACTTCGTTATCCTTGAAGTAAGTATTCCATCGGCTGTCAGGATTTGGATTGAGGGGCTGAAGAAAGAAACAGAAACAGGACAAGCACGTTTCATATGTATCCAGAACCTCATTCCTGCTGTCCTTCTGTCATCCAGTACCAGCACACTCGTAGCACATCAGGTTTAATTTTTCACTAGCTGTGTTTAATGTTCTTCACACAGTTTGCAGGGAGTGGATTAGAGCTTGTGAAACAAGTGAGCATGCAGGCTCACTTACAGAGGCAGAAGCCAACATTTCCAATCCCATTTCACCTGTCTCTTAATGACTTTGTTCCAAAATCAGACTCCCTGTCCCATGTCAACAAGATTCCTGATGGCAGAAGATGGTCTTTGTAGTTAGGCTAAGAGTTACCCAGCCATTACTTGGGCATTGGGGTTAGTAGTTACAAATATTCCTCTACTTCAGTTCCAAGAAGGCTGATTAAACATCACCATCATGGCCAGGAGAAAGGAAATACATATTACTATGATCAACCTTCCCTGCACCTGACCAGTTTTGCAATACAAGAAGCACAGATAACAACTAGCCACGAAGATTCAAAGATTGCTGTCACCTGCCAGAGTTTTACAGGCATTAGTTTTACAGCACCAAGGCCTCCAGAGATCACAGCCACACAGATGTTAGCATGTTAGCAGAGAAGTTAATCTTCAAGAGTGGTCATGGAAGCACTTGTATCATTTTACAGTCTCTTCTGATTGGTTACCTCATTCCCTCCCCCATCACATACACTCTTCACAGTTTTCAGAGGAAGGAAAAGGCCAAGGGATGCAGGAGATGCTTCACTAAAATAAAAGCCAAGCAGCAGAAGTAGGAGTGAGTCTCCTGCCTTCCATGCCACAGCCCAGCTTACCTCTCCTATTCAGGTTAGCCTACTCTGAGGCCACCACGGACCCGACTTCCCAGGAGAGTGTTTCCTTGCCAGAGGTACCTCTTGCTAGCCTCTCCCTAGGAGACCCTGGAGCAGCTAGCCCCAGAGGAAGCTAGAAGGGACATGCATAGCTGAAAACAGCTCTCTTCAGAACTATTGGTGCTTTGCCAGTAATTCACACAGAAGGCTACTAAGACACAAGTGCCAGGCTGGTACTTAGGAACAGTCTCTCCTGTTTTTAGCAAGGCAAACCAGTTGAGAACAGAGCCAAAACCAGCCCAGGGGTCCATAATCCAAAACACTGAGCAGTTTTCTGCAGCACACTTTGTAACACTGGGCAGTTTTCTGCAGCACAAACACTTACATGATCTTCTAAGGTCACATCTTCCCTTGAAACACCCAGGTTGGCTTTGGCGATCCCAGGCTGGATAATCATTTCCTTGAGGAACTGGGAATACAGATCCCTTTAGGAGGAAAAGAGGAAGTTGCAATGAAGCAGCAGATTACGTCAGTGAAGCACCAGACTGAGGTCAAACAGATCTCTCTGTACCACTCTGCTCAGCCAGAGGGCATTTGATTTTCTCTTCAGTTGAGTTTAGCTGAAGAGGTCAATCCACCCATTAGTCTACAGAACAGTACATTCCACACGAGAACAATTCTTTCTGTGAAGGCATTTAATTATTTAAGGAACTATTCTTCTCTGTAGATATCTTTAGAAACAAAGGGGCAAGCAGCAATGTTCTCACCTCTGTTTCTTCAGCAAAGAGCTCCATAAGGCTTTCTCTAAAGGGAGGTAGTTCAGGAGTATCTGTACAGAAGACACAAGTATTTGGTGAGCCGTTATACCTGAAAGATGAGCAAACCAAACCCAGGGGCTACAACTGGCTCTTTGAAAACATTGTCAGCTGCCTCCAGAAAGCCCAGTACTTTGCCATGGAACAGCCAAGGAGATTCCAGGGACTGGTTTTCAACACAGACCCATCTGCAGGGTTGATCAAGAGCTAACCTGACCAAATGCACTCCTAGCTTAATACTGAGCGCGGTTCCCATTCAAAAGAGCCGACAGCCACTTTCTATGCTCTAAAGCGATGGCAGCCCTGTGTCAGTAAATGCTGCTGTGAGTGTGCCAGTGCTGAGCTCCACAAATTACTCCTGATTTTGAGTGGTTTTTCAGCTCTAATTGCTTTGCTCATGATCGCAAGTGCCAACAAAACGCTACGGGCACTTCAGGAACCCAAAGCCCCCCTCACAAGACACAGAAGCACCCCAAGCAAAACCCACCTTCCAGCACAGGCAGCGCAGCCCACCATCAAAGGGAATTCCTGTGGAATATCAGGCAAAGAAACAGCTCCGTTAAGCCCGGTCTCCTGGCGGCGGTTCGCTAATGCCACCACACTAACAGGCAAGGCAGCGCTTTCCCTTGCCGGGGGGCACAACTTCCCACAGGGACGCGATGGGGCTTTACACGGTGCCACAGTGCCGGGGCCTCCCACGGGGCTGGGAGGGCTCCTGCGGGGGTTGGGAGCAGAAAGATGGGGACGCGCAGGTGATGGCCAGAAGCGATAAAAGCCACAAGTACCTCAGCGAAGGGGAAGGAAGGGCTTGCCTGGAAGCCTGTGGCTGTGTTCAGAGGCCGGGTGGGGACCGCTGCGGCCTGACTGGAGCTTGGGCTTGAAAACACACCCGCCAGCCGCGGTTCGCAACCCCCGCCGCTTCACAGCGGCAATGGGAGCGCGTTAACACGGGGTAACTGAGCGCACCATCACCCGCCACATCTTCCGGGGCCTGACAACCGGTTCCGAGCGCCGCGGGGACGGCCCCAGCCCCGGGCCACCACCGGAGAGCCCCTCCCCAAGACTGAGGCCGTGCCCTCGCCCTCCTGCCCCGGCCGGGCCGCTCACCGCTGAAGCACAGGTCGCGGAGCTTGGCCAGCGCCACCGTGGGTTCGCCGAGCACCTCCTGGAAGTCCGCGATCCTGAGGGAAGCGGAGCCGCGGCCGCTATAACGCGTGTTACCGACACCCCCCCACACAGAGACACCCACCGGCCCCACAGCGCCCTCCCGCCGCAGCCCCGGCAGGGGCAGAGCCCCGGCACCGACCTGCTCCGGTGCAACCGTGACATGGCGGCCCCCGAGCCCCTACCCCGCGCGCCGCATAACCGCTCCGGCTGGAAACCCTGCCCGCGGGGGGGGGTGGGTGGGACCGGATCGCACCACGCCTCCGACCCCTCCCACCGCTCCACGGTGGTCCCGCCCATGTGGGGAGGGGGCGTGACCGTGAGCACTGAGCCCCGCCCCGCGGCGCGATCGTGCCCGGGGCTCCCGGTGCCCCGGGCGGTTCCGGTTCCCCCAGCGGGCAGTGGCTCTGCCGCGGGCTGTGCCCTCTCACAGGGCCCAGTGGGCAGGGCTGGGGTCCCCTCCCTGCGGTGTCAGCCCCAGAAACGACCCCGTGGGTAGGCGCTGAGGTACCGAGGTCAAAGCCCGGTGGCCGCGTCCCGGTTGGAGCCCGCGGAACCCCCGGGTGGCCTCAGCCAGAAGGGGCAGTGGGGACCGGGGAGCCCCGGGCCGCCGCCGCCCCGCGAACACCCGTGTGGTGACGCCCCCGCGCTCACGCCATGCAGCGGCGCGGTGATGCCACCGCAGTGCGTGCCGCTGCCGTGACGTCCTCATCGTCGCGCCCCGTGAGGTCACGGCGCGTGAGGGAGAGCCGGGGCTGCCCGGGCACCGGCGGGCACGGCCCGAGCGTTCCGGGCTGGCCGCGGTTTCCGGGAGGGGAAAGCGGCGGCGCTTCCGGTACGGGAGGTCCCGGCTGGCGGAAGTGACGCCGGGGTTTGTTGACAGCGGAGGCCGCGGCGGGGGGAGTGGGCCCCAGGAGGACGCGGACACCCCCGTGCCCGCCCCGGGGAGCGGCGCCGGGACGAGCCGCGGCTCCCGCCGCCCATCGGCCGCGCCGGGCGGGGGCCTGGCGCCAGGTGAGTGCCGGCGTCCCCCTCCCCAGCCCGACCCGCGGGGCTCGCCCTGCCCGGGGACACCGGGCCTGCACGGCGAGGCAGCGCCGCCCCACGCGGAACCGCCGCCCCCGGCAGCGCCGACCAGTGCCCCCCTGGAGAGACTCCCGACCTCTCCCCGGGACTGTGGGGGCAGCCGGGGCCTGGGCCTTGGCAGCCCGTCCGGGACGAGCCCCGGCGCTGCTGGGAGAGGTGACCTCCGAGCGCTCGGGAAGGGAAGGTCGCCCCGCGGAGCGGAATCGGGGAGCGAGGGAGGTTTGGGCTGGCGACCTGCCCGCGGGCTAGTCAAGGGGCTCACAGGACTGTCAGAGCCCATTGCACCCAGGGAGTGCAAACCCCAGGGGCTCCCGGGGTGTCCTCCTGGGCAGGTGACCTTTTGGAACGAGAACCCGTGGTATGATTCAGTGAGCCGAAGGAGCATCTTTACTGCAGGCAGGTACAAAGATCAACATGTTTCTCAGCTAGCACGGGTCGTCTCATTTACAGGGTCAGTCCTGGCAGGCTGACAGATTTGGGAATTGCAGGTTTTGCTGTGCCATGGAATAGTTCAGCCTACTCCTGCTTCAGTTTCGCTGCTGTAAGAAAGGGATGGTATTTCCGCACACAAACTGTGATGACCCATCAATTAATGAAATCTCAGTGATTTACAGCTGCGAGACGCCAGCTAAAATGACAGTGCGGTTTTCCTTCAAGGTGTAACCTGTGCCAAATTCTGCATTTACATTTTGTTTGTTATTCTAAAGTCATTGCCATCACTTCCCGTCAATGCATATTGTTTTCTCTCTCCTTGGACAAATCCCTGATGCTGGAAAAGTCGCTTTGCAATCATTTTTGTAGCAGCAGCACAAACGTTATGTTGTTGGCGTGCAGCCATGGTGAGTCAGGCTTGGCTTGGGCAGCTGCCTGGAGAGAGACTGGGAGAGAAGATAAGTCTGGAGTCCAAGGTAGAGGATACTGGCATGGGCAGCCCCAGGAGTGCCAGGAGCAGTCCCAAGGCTCTTGTGCCAGCACTGCCTGAAGTGCCATAACAATGAGGATGGAGCCTACCCATAGAGCAGTATTTGCCAGATTTGCAGGCTGGGCCTGGAAGGTTGGTGGTGGAAGAGAGTGAAGCTGCATGTGCTGTAGCTTCCTTTGGGTGTGTAAACGATGGGAGGGTGCTGATGCTCTGCAGTGAGGGCTAGTTGTGTCTATATGCCTTTGTATCTCCTGCATCTCCAGTGGGCTCAGTTCCTCAATGTGTTAAGATGGAGGCAAATCTATTGGAAAAATAAACGGGAAAAAATCCTGGCAGCTGTAGTTCTGGTCGCTTTTTGATTCTTGTGCTTGAATTTTCAGCATCTTTCACATGCAGTAGAAAGCTCATTGCTCATCGTTGAAAGTGCTGGTGACAGTGTGCTGGGCTGTTGCCTGGGGAAAAGCTGCCTGAGAATAACGATTAAGTAAATGTTAGTTTGTCAGCAGCTCTAGTTCATTTGCTTTTATCAACATGTTGAGCTTATAACCAGAGACACTATTGATCAGGGCAGCTATGGACACTTAACTTCCATCTCCCCCTGCCTATGTGTCGTGTCTTGAGTCTGACTGAGGAGGAAGAGGCTGGCTTGTACTGTGCCCCATACAAAAGGTCACAGCAGGAGCTCTGGGTAGTGCTTACATGTCCGTAATAAATCATGAGGATGAATGCATTTCTTTGGTGTTATTTTACGGGGATGCTTTAACCACTTTTCTTTATATCCACCTTCCACATGGGATTTTGTTGGTGGGTCACATGGAGCTCAGAAGTTAAAGGGCAGCTGATTTCTCCAGGGCTGGGATCAACCAGCTACATTGTGCTGGTCTCAGCAGAGAGGGAACAGAGGATTGTCAGAGCCACAGGAAGGCAATCCTTGCCCTTTAGTGCTCAAAGCTGCTTGGACAAGTCCCAAGCACTGGCTGTTTCCAGCTGCACGTGATAATAGACTGTCAATGGGAATCTGTTTTCGAGTTCTCTGGCCATCGGTAGTGAACAGTGGAAGAACAGTGGCTGCAGGGACCTCCTGTCTGATGGCACAAGGGGAACTGGTAGGGATAGCAGAACACGTTTCCCTACTGGTTCAGATCTTCCTGTTGATCTTGCCTTTCTGGAAAGATTCTCTCAAGCAAGCTTCAGGCAAAATCTGTGAGGGACTCGTTCTGGAGGTGAAGCAGATTCATCTCCAACACAGACACAGCAGAGAACACAGGACAAGTTCCTTCCACCTGCATTCCCATAGCCAGGACCTCACAGCCCATGAGACGATGCTCTGAACCCAGTGGCCCATTTCATCCTTGACTTCTCCCTGACTTAACTACAAAGGAGAGTGTGCTGGATTAGGGATTTCCTTCTTTTTCAAAGATGAAGACCAAAAACTTTCCTCATTTGTTTTGTTTCTACCACATGAATCTCAAAAGGTCTCCAAGCTATTAAGGCACCCTTGAGAAGTCAGTTTTACGTTATGGTGACCCCAGCTCAGGACTTTGACCCAGCAGAGCAGGATACACCCTTCAAACTGTCTATAATCTAGATGTTAAATACAGCTTTTGTGGTTGCTGGTTTCAGGGCCCAGCATCTGCTTTTGCTTTTCCCTCTTAAGCCAAAACAAGAAGAGAATCTGAGATCCACACTGGAAAGGCTGTTGTAAGCTGTAGGTCAGAACAAGTGGCTCAGAAGTAGTTTGGGATTGGAACATGAACCTGCCAGTTGCTGCAAATAGAGTTTCCAAAAATGCTTACAGGAAGAAGAAACTATAGATCAAATTCAGGTAAAGCCAAAAGACAATTCACGTTCAGCACCAGGCCTCTCTCCGTGCTGGGTTAATTCCTTGGCCAGATCTTTGCCCCTGACACTGAAGCACGCCCTCAGAAAAAGAATGAATGAAACTGAGTAGGAAGAAAGAAAAGAGCTTTGATATCCAACTTGTGCTGCCTCCATGTTTGCATGGAAATCCATTCTGCAGGGAGGGATTAGAAGGCTGGGAGCCTGGGCTGCCAGGCAGGCTCAGTCAGAGCTGTGTTCCTGTCACCCAGAGAGACCATTTGGTGCCTGAATTCCAAAGAGTACCTCATCTACAGCCTTGACTGATCCTTTTTTCAGGTGTCATCGCCAGGCAGAGCTGAACAGAGCATCTGAAAGTGAGGAGGGAAGGTGCCTCATCCACCCCGGGTGCCTCTGGGGATATGGACTAAGGTGAGAAAAAGGAATTCAACTCTTCTTTCTTGTACTGATACTGCAGGAATGAAGGAGAGAGCAAACAAGTGCAGGGACATAACAATTGAAAAGACACAGGTTTTACATTAAAAATAAACATTTTAACAGTTTTTGCATGTCCATAGAAATATATAGAAGAAGTCCCATTAGGGTTGTTTCTAATGTGATTTGACTCTTTGGTCTTCAGTCGTTTCTGCTAAACACCTCCAAGGCTCCAGCAAGCCCTTCTTCAGTGCCAGTGAGTGAGGCTTCCTATTTCAGATAGGAAGTGAGACAGGAATAGCCTCCCCCAGTTGTTTCCTTACCCATCCTTCTTCATCCTGTACTAAAAATGAAGGGCAAAAGTGTCTTTTCCAGGTTAGTCACTCATACCTTTTTGTGACAGATCTGGAACAGTTTGAGTGAGCGTGTCCCAGTTTGCTGGATGTGTAGATGTCCAACATCTGCATAAACCTGGCTTTACATTACAAAGAGAAGCCAAACCAGTCTGTGGGTTTTCCTTTGGCTTCTAATCCACTTCATAGTCTAGTTTAAGGACTTGCATGAAGCTTCTGGCTTGAGAGAAACACTCAGCTTGAATATGAAATTTGCCTTGGAATGGTGGCAAACAGTTGCAGGCGCAAGATATGGGGCCATACTTCTGTTGGCATCATCCCAACAGTAGATTTTCTTCTGGTTTATCCAACTCCCTCAGAAGGAAACCAAGCAGTGTGGTTTCTTCCACTTCCCTTTCAGAGGGCTTTGTCAGCCAGATAACCCTTGCAATAAGAAAACATTTTCTTGCTGTGTAGCCTCATTTCCAAACATGGTTTGTGTTAACTCATTCCCGCAGTGTCCCCTGGGGGTGGGGATACCAAGGAATTAAGGGCATACTGCCAGAGAGGCCAAAATGCAGCAGGTTCTTTTGAGGTCAGCGAGTGATGGGCTGTAAATACAACAATCAACATCCTGCTGGTACAACAGCTTTGCAGGACACCTGCCGATGGGCCTTTCTCAACGCATCTTTTTCTCCCCTCTGTTCATAGCTGTCCTGATGTCCCTGTAAATTCATCCTGGAACTTCATTTGAGGAAAGGATCTCCTGACTCAAAAGCTTCCTTCTGCTCTTCCCCTTCCCATAACTTCCCTCAAGATGGCATCCGATAGCCCCGAGTCACTGATGGCCCTGTGCACTGATTACTGCCTTCGCAACTTGGAGGGGACTCTCTGCTACCTGCTGGACAACGAAACTCTCCGGCTCCATCCTGACATCTTCTTGCCAAGCGAGATTTGTGACAAGCTTGTCAATGAGTACGTTTCAGGCCCCTTGGAGAAGCTGGTTTGGGAAGGAGCCCAAAGGGAAGGGGGAAGATCATTCTCTGAAAAGAATGATGGGAAAGGGTTACAAAATGGGGAAGAATTCATAGGGCTGGGATGGTTTCCAGTTGATGCTCATATTGGAAATAAGGAGCTGCATTGATTTGAGGAGGAAGTGTCCCGAAGGGTTATTGTACTGCTGTATATCATTCTAGTTTCTGTGGTAGTCACCATTTCCACATAAGTAAACCCAGAGTGAAACAGTTCCTGCTCCTTCCAAGAACATCAGTTAGTAACAAAGGAGCCTTCCCATTTCCCACCAACTGAAGCATTACAGCTCCCTCAAATCGAAGAAATAAGAGTGCAAAGTGCTAACAGATGTTAAATTTTAAGGCTGCTGCTCCCACAGCTTTACAAAGCAACCTATTTCCAGGGATTCATGTAATGTGGCTGTTGCAGTCTCTCCTGGCTGAACTCCTGTCCTCAAAGTCTGGCAGAGAACTTTGGCCATCTAATGTTCTGAATAATGAAAAAACACCAAATTACTATCATTAAACAGCTGTGGGGGAAAAACCCTGGAGTCTGGGCTTGCCAGAATCCGATCTGATCACTCACACATTTGAGCGTGCCTGAGATTTTCCTAAGGATCATTAGTTCTGTGCAAAAAGAAGTAACAGGCCAGCTCTCATTGCCCCAAAGGCTGAAAATCAGGAGGGAACTCTGCATGTGCTTATGCACTTGCTCATATTTTCTTGTAACCAGGAAAAGTGCTAGAGCTGAGACTGACTGAGCCTTTGTGTCATGCTACGCTAACATCATTGCCCAAATACAGGTACGTGGAGCTAGTGAAGACAGACAGCATCTTTGAACCCCATGAGAGCTTCTTCACCCTGTTCTCAGATCCCCGGAGCACCAGGCTAGCTCGGATCCACTTGCGGGAACAGATTGTGCAGGACCAGGACTTGGAGGCCATCAGGAAGCAGGTATTGCACTGACAGTTTCCAGCTATCACTTTGCATGGCAGCATTGCTGCAAGGGCACCAGCTAGAATACCAGGCACACAGAAATGCCCAAGACTGCATCCTTCACTGTCTAAATCTTACTTGGGAAACTCTCAGCTTCTCCCTTCTCATCTCCCAGAACCACTGTATGGGGTGGGGTAGGAATACTGGTCAAATTTGGTGATGTATGGTCTCAAGCTCTCCCAGTGGGAGGTGGTGTAGCAAATTATTTCTACCTGTGAAATAGTTCTAACTTTGATTTCCCATCTTCCAGGATCTCGTTGAGCTTTACCTGACTAACTGTGAGAAGCTGACAGCCAAGAGCCTACAAACCTTGGTGAGCTTCAGCCACACACTTATCTCCCTTAGCCTCTTTGGCTGCTGCAATATCTTCTATGAGGAGGAGAACCCTGGAGGCTGTGAAGATGACTGTTTGGTGAACCCAACTCGCCAGGTCTTGGTGAAGGACTTTACTTTTGAAGGCTTCAGCCGCTTGCGCTTCCTGAACCTGGGCCGCTTGATCGAGGGGGTAAATGTGGAGACGTTGCTTCGGCCTTTGGCCTCCCTTGCAGCTCTTGATCTCTCTGGGATCCAGCTGAACGATGTGGGATTTCTGACCCAGTGGAAGGACAGTCTGGTTTCCTTAGTGCTTTACAACATGGACCTTTCAGAGGAGCACATCCAAGTGATCGCACAGCTTCGCAAGCTCAGGTTAGCACATCCGTTCTTCCTTGTTTATCCTTTTCCCACTGATAGCAAAAGCTCATTTAGGTGCTAACAATTTAGAGAGCCACCCACTGCTGGTTTCAAGTTATAAACCCCCACGTGGACAGGCTTGCTCAGTGGCTCACTACATATATCTGACATGTCTAAAGCCAGCCTGCATTTTACTTGCAAAGGTTGTCACTTAGGAGAAATTCCCTCTTAGAAAACAAAAAACCAACACAAACCCCTCAAAAAAACCCTTACACAGCAAAGAAAGAATAAACTAAACCAGCCACCTCCCAGTCAAATAAAAAATGACAGCTGAATACCTGAGAGATGGCAAAAAAAATGACTGCTGGTGTGTAGATAAACTACTATAGCAATAATCACACTGGGAAACTCAGTCCTCCAAACCACTTGTCAAACAGGAATGTCTGAAATTTAAGCCTAATTCTGAGGTAAACCTAGGAAAAACTCTGAGCTCAGACTGTCTGCCCGCTGTGTCGTGTGGAAGCACACTGCCTGGATGGTGCAATCAGGGAACAAGCAGTGTAAATACACTCCTGACCCCACAGTGTTGGCAGTGAAAGGACTTCCTGAAACAGAGCCGAGACAATCGCTGCTCAGTTGCACAGTGGTGTTAAGAAAGCGAGCCAGGACTTTCCAAGCCAAAGAGAAGGGTCATAGTATTCACGAGAAGGATGCTCTGCAATGGCTTTAGTATCGTTTCTACTGAGTGCAGACACTAGGGGGTACCACATTAACACATGACCTGGAATCTCAGGGAGCAGCCTGGATAACATTTTATAAACCCAAGAACTTTAACTCTCAGTGACTTGCAATGAAACTTACTTTATAACAAGTAGAAAAGAGTTTTGTGAGTGGGATGTTGGCTCCTTAGAAAAAGTCTCTGTCAAGGGGCTTAGGTAGTGATTGGCAGACCCTGTTCTGTAAGTGACCCCACCTGCATATGATGGCTGGTCAGTCTGTCCCACCACTCCACATAGCATCAGGGTTTCCCCAGAGCTTAAGCATTTAAATAGCTGAATAAAATCAGGCCAGTGTAATAGCCTGGGGTGATAAAAATACAAGACTGGGGAAGCAGACAAAAACTGTGTGACAATTTGTGGGATGAGGCGACGTGTTTGGGGATGCAAAGATCTTCTGGTGCATTATAGTCACCAGGCAGAAATGCTCAGGTGGCTGCTGTGATGGAGTTTGGGAAAGGCAGCTCCTGAGCCTGGAGCAATTTCCCTTGTGATGTGTGGCTAGATAATTCATTGTGCTCTATTCTGAGTAGACCTCTACCAGATATCTGTGTGCTTCAGTTAGACATAGGGCCAGATCCTTTTGCCAGATCCCACACAGCCACATTCCTGTATCCTGTGAAGGAAATTATAGCAATAAAAGATAAATAAAAAATATAATACTCACATTTGGCTTGTCATCTTCCTCTGGCAGAGAGGCAGAAGCCACAGCCAATGCTTTCCAGGCTCTGAGATGCTCTCTGTCATTTGCAGGCACTTGGATATCTCCCGAGACCATCTGTCCAGTTACTACAAATTCAAGCTGACCCGGCGGGTTCTAAACCTGTTTGTGGAAAACTTGGTAAACCTCACATCGCTCGATATCTCAGGGCACACCATGCTGGAGAACTGCACTATCCCAAGCATGGAGGAGAAGATGGGCCAGACAAGGTAAAGAAACAGCAATTACTGAGGTCTGCTTGGGTAGATAGATCAGTCAAAGACAAATTGAATTAAGAACAGTTCCCTCTGGGTTTCCAGATTCTGGAGGTCTAGTTAATACTAAAAAGCAGGATATCTCTTGCTAAATTCCCCATAACAGTAAAGGCTGGTATGGGAAGCAGCTGTGATTCCTGTATGTGACACATGTAAGGACTTTAATAAAGAATTCATCCTGTCTTCCTGCCATGCATATCTGAGGAAGTGTTTCAGTTCTTTGCCACACACATTTTCCAGGGATCTGTTGCACTATTTTATACTTTTCCTGAAAGTAACCCAAAACCCTTAGTACACATTTTCCACACAAAACATTCTTACCCTCACTTGAAATTCCGACTTTTCTGAGACAAAACATTTATACACCGAGTTGTTACATCAGTGTTCATAGGAGGGCCGAGTGTTTTAGGAACACAGAATCTACAGGTATGTTTTCAGATTTGACCTGAATACTGAGCAGATCAACCGCTGAGGGTCCTGGTGCACCTCAGTAGAGGCATACACAGAGGTGTGGTCTTCCAGATCGGTCAAGAACTCTGCCTGCCTGTTCCCCAAGCACTTACTGAACAATGAGTGGGACAGTACTGGTTCCTTTCCGCCAGAGCTGGTGAAGAAATACTGGCTCTTGGTCAGTAAGGAACATGGTCCCTTCCAACCCAAACCAGTCTGTGACTGTGTAACATGCAATCCAGTTTGTAAATACCTTGGATTAGCAAAATCCACAGCCCTTTTCTAAGAGGAAACGTTCACCCCAGCTAGTGAATTTCCAGGACAGTTTCTACCTGGGAAAGCTGCATTCTGTCTGCATGAATTTTTACTGCTGTTTCTGTTCAACACATTTAGCCCTTCACTCAATCATCTAGAATGAATGTCTAGTGTTACGTTTAGGAGCAGCTGGCTTGTGTAGCTATTACCACTCTGGTTATGAAGCAGTACATTCAGAGTGACTGCAGAGCAGATAGGCAGGAAACACCTGAAGAAACGTGGTACCAACGTGAGTGATCTCTATTTTTTCCTGTCAGTATTGAGCCAGCAAAGAGCAGCATCGCTCCCTTCCGGGGTCTGAAACGACCGCTCCAGTTCTTGGGCCTTTTTGAAACATCTCTCTGCCGCCTGACGCATATTCCAGCCTACAAGGTAATGAGACCACACGAATACTGGCAGTAGGAGCTTGGTAGAAGTTGAAAGAACATAAAAATGGAGCTCTTCAGTTCTCATGTGCAACAACTGAGCTCTGGTCTTTCAGTAGGTTCTTAATAAAGCAAGACCTATAACCCATATGGTTTCTACAAGGGTTAAAAAACATGTCTCTTAAAAAAGAGCATGGAAGAATCATCCTGCCTGAAAAACCAGGATGTTTGTGACTACAGTAAAAGAATTTAAGACAAAAGGAGTCTTACTTGTGAATATCATCTTCCTGCTCCAAAGGTCCCATTTCTTTTTCACCTGGGCTGAGAAGTGATTCAGCCTCTTTGCTCTCATCCTGGGCCCAATCCTGTCAGCAGGACAAGGAAAATTGTACCCTTTGACCTTTCAGAGTTCCCTTCTCATGTTGGTTTTACTGCTTCATAAATGATGCTTTTTGTTCCTCCCAGGTGAGTGGAGACAAGAACGAAGAGCAAGTCCTGAATGCAATTGAGGCTTACACTGAACACCGGCCAGAAATCACATCCCGGGCCATCAACCTCCTTTTTGACATAGCACGTATCGAACGCTGCAGCCAACTGCTGCGAGCCCTTCAGGTAAGCTCCACGCTAGCATTTACCTCACCATAACAAGGGAAGTTTTGCAACCCTGGTCTTTTCTTGACCCTGAGACACCATATCAGGCCACTCTGGAGAAAGTTCCAGTCATGCAGTGGAACTGGCTGCCTTCAATTCACAAGCATGTTCCTGCAATGCCTGAGCCACACATTCCTTGCAAGCTTGTAACAGTCACTCCAAGACTCAGCAGCAAGTCAGTGGCACTGAAGCTTCGTGTTGCTTCTCTGCAGCTGGTGATCACAGCCCTCAAGTGCCACAAGGATGACAAGAACATCCAGGTGACAGGCAGCGCAGCACTGTTCTACTTGACCAACTCCGAGTATCGCATGGAGCAGAGCGTAAAGCTGCGGCGCCAGGTCATCCAGGTGGTGCTGAATGGCATGGAGTCCTACCAGGAAGTTACAGTAAGAGCAGTCCAGTCTCCTTCAGCTCCCATAGTCCCCTTTCCTGTATTAGGATCTGGGATTATTTTCTGGTGTTAGCATCTGGGTCTTCTAAGCCTCCAGGATGTGAACCAAGGCAGACACCAGAGAAGCTACTGCCCAGATCTGCTGCTTGCCTTCACTCGATGAGCATTACAGGCAGGGTGCTCCTTATTACAGATTCATAGAATGGTTTGGGTTGGAAGTGACCTTAAAGATCATCTAGTTCCAACCCCCTTGCCATGTAATCTCCAGAACAAGGGGAAGAAAGTGATGATAGCACGTCTCCTTCTTATCTGACGATAGAGGTGTTCAAAGGGTGTATATGACACACAGCATAGACATCCAGCACTGACTGTGGGGTGAAAAGGTTGCAGGCATTGGGGTTGTTGAGCCAACAGAAAGAAACATTATCCCAATACACTGTATCAGAAGCTGGCTGACATTATAATGCCACTGGGCTGCAGAATGGGGACTGCTGCATAGAGAGCTCACAGGCAGCAAGGAACTGGCTTGAAAGTGATGGGCATTGGGTGTTTGTATGGCCCTGTGAGACTAGGTTGTAGTCAAGCAAGAAGACGGCTTCAGTTCCAAGCAGCAAGGAAACCTGAGGTGATGGTGTCTGCGTTTTCATAGCCACTTGGCCCAGCATTTGCTTCCTTCTGACCCAGGTACAGCGGAACTGCTGCCTGACACTGTGCAACTTCAGCATTCCTGAGGAACTGGAGTTCCAGTATCGCCGGGTCAACGAGCTGCTGCTGAACATCCTCAACCAGAGCCGGCAGGATGAGTCCATCCAGCGCATCGCTGTGCACCTCTGTAATGCTCTGGTCTGCCAGGTGGACAATGATCATAAAGAAGCTGTGGGCAAGATGGGGTTTGTCATGGTTGGTATGGTCCCATGGTGTCTACTTATCCTTAACCCAGGCTACCACAATTCCCTTGCACCAGTCCACCAAATGCATGAGCCAGTGATCCAGCCTTGCAGTATCACAGGAGGAAATTAGTGTCCTACCAGTGATAACCTTTCCTGGCCTGTCCCTACTTGCTTACCAGCACTGGATGTGATCCACTCAGAGACAGGCAACCTATGAGAGCAGGAAGCAGTATAACCTTAGACCTGACCTCTTTATCATATCATTTCCAGAATGAAAATGATCCCTTCTGACTAGCTCCTTCTGCATCTCCCTGAGTTTGCATCAGCTTCCCAGCTCATGTCAACCCATCTCCCTCACACCTTTTCAAAGAGCTGCAGAGGCCACTGCTTTCGTGCAGTTATACCACATTCCAGACTTTGTAATACAGATCAAAACTAACTTGACTGCAAATTCAACAGCTCAGGGACTATGACACAGTTCAGCTCTGTAAATGCCTGTAACATTGAACATAACCCTGTCCCACCTGCTTAAAGAAAGAGATACCAAGTAGGTTCTCTACAAAGGATCAAAATGGCACATGCCTGCAGCCAGCCCTGCAGTACTACAGCAGTTAATTTTAGCTATGTGGCTCTGGAACTGTTTCTCACTCTTCCCCTTCCTCTGCCCACAGACAATGCTGAAGTTGATTCAGAAGAAGTTGGCTGATAAAACGGTGAGTGTTTCCCCCAAAGCATATCCATAGAGTATTTTCTCTCCAGTCTGACTTGGGAATGGAGATCAGCCCAAAGCACCAGCTCAGCTTCACTAACAAACACGAGACAACTGATGCTGCAGAATTTCCTGTCCCAGAGTGAGGGCAGGAGAATGTGACAAGGAGACAAGAAATATTAAAAACCCACTTGCTGATAAGTTGAAAAGGAATAACAAGGTTTTCTTACCTCTGGAGTCATCTAGGGTGATACCAGAGAGGAAACACAAGAAGTTAGTTTGCACTGGGCACCCACATCAGCAAAGCTCTGTTTCAGTTCCTTTTTCTTCTGCTCTGTAGTGTGATCAGGTGATGGAGTTCTCCTGGAGTGCCCTCTGGAACATCACTGATGAGACCCCCGATAACTGCGAGATGTTCCTTAACTACAGTGGCATGAAACTGTTCTTGGAGTGCTTGAAGGTGAGTACATCTGGTTGCTTCCAGAGGAATGCTGACATCAGCAGTAGAGATGCAGGTGCCTGGGCAGGATCCCTGGCTATGCTAATCTATAAGCAGTACTTCCTGTATTGCACAAACACAAAAGAAAAAGCTTGCATATTTTCTTTTTCTCACATCTATCCACCCAACCATAAGAAGAACAGAGAAACTTACACCCATCTTCCTCTTTCCTTGTGTGCAATCCCCCTTAAGTAGAGCAGCATTGAATCTCTCATTTCACATGTATCTCAAACACTAGAGATCCATTTGGGCATCTAGCTAAGAGCCATTGCTGACTCCCTAAAGGTACTCAGTCCTTTCAGGACATACTGTACCATCTTTCTCCCAGGTTGCATGTTCTCAGCACCGCTGTAACTCCACTTTGTATAATCCTTTTCTTTGCTTGCCTAGGAATTTCCAGAGAAGCAGGAGCTGCATCGCAACATGTTGGGCCTCCTGGGCAATGTAGCAGAGGTGAAGGAGCTCCGCCCACAGCTCATGACCTCCCAGTTCATCAGTGTGTTCAGGTGTGTCCCTGGCTAATGAACCGCTGGGCTCGAGTGAATGCTCTGGACCTCTTCTCCTGGGCCACCCAGAGACTTTTAAACCTTTGGTGTGTCAGCATCTGAGTAATCTCTTCTTCCTTGGCAGTAACTTGCTGGAAAGCAAAGCAGATGGGATTGAGGTATCCTATAATGCCTGTGGCGTGCTCTCCCATATCATGTTTGATGGTCCAGAGGCTTGGGGTATATGTGAGCCCCACCGAGAGGAAGTTGTAAAGAGGATGTGGGCCGCAATCCAAAGCTGGGATATCAACTCCAGGAGAAATATCAATTACAGGTGAGGAATAGCAAAGTTTGGCCTGCTCCCTTAGGAGCCAGGATTGTCACAGGAAGCAAACACCAACAGAGAGGAGGGAAGAGGTACAACCCAGCAGGGAGGCTCTATTTAGAATAAAGGAGAAAGAGCCTCAGGGACACACTCTGTAGTGAGGGTTTTACACCTTCCTTTGAAATGTGTTACATAGGCTGCTGAAATTAAGACACCTGGCCTAGCACTTCCTATGGGAGAACTGTGGGAGCCCAAAAGAGTTTCTCCTGCGTGTTTCTGGTGAAATTACATAGCCCAGGAAATGTGATCTGTTTGTCTGGGACTGCTTAAGCATTTTCTTGCTAGACTGTTGTCATTTTGCCTACTTAACTGAAAGTCACATGGATTGCTGTTAGCTTTCACTCTTCTCTGGGAGACACAGTTCCCAGAAATCCCTTCAAGGGTTAATACAACTGGTGGAATCCTCCAAAGTCCTTCCTATAAGAGGGTATCAGGTACTCTGTATTCCCTTTAGTGCCTGGCAGGGATCCAGAACAAATGGCATTCCAGTGCCTGCTCTACACTATCAACACATTATTGTGGTCAGAAAAAACACAGCAACTATTGCATGCAAGTAGTCCCTCTACAGATCAGTGCTGCTGGGCTTCAGCTGTTGTGAGGAGTAACTCACAGAGGATGGAAATCAGGTCTTGCATTCATTGCAGCTGTTTATCCAGGCAGCATGTTTATGCTGAAGCGGTAGGGCCTGTAAGCCAGCCAGTATTGCCATGTGACACAGACCTCATCTTCAATGCCAGAATCTTTGACATACCAGTGGATTTACTGCTATGGTATCTGTGAACACCCAAGTTTGTGTTGCTTGAAGTAGCAGAAGTGCTGAAAGAAGCTGCTCTTGGTATTTCTAACAACTGCAATATTTCTGTGCAGGTCTTTTGAACCAATCCTTCGACTTCTTCCACAAGGGATCTCCCCAGTCAGCCAGCACTGGGCTACCTGGGCACTGTATAACCTGGTCTCTGTCTACCGTAAGTTCCCTTTCTGAAATCACACCACTGCACTGGAAGAGCTGAGGGTGTGGATCTGACCTTGTTAGGAAAGGTCTTTCCACTTCAGTGACAGCAGTAGAGAGAACGGTCTTTGAATGATGCAGGAATGTCCAGGCAGGGCAAAGCCAAACAAGAAACAATGAGACTTAGTGTGTAGGAAATTCCTTCGATGTTTTGATCCTTGTGGCCATGCTTTTACATTCTCGGCCATTTTATAGGTGTTGTTTTGCACCTCTGGCAGGCTAACTCCATAATAAAGTTTTATACGTTCTTGGGCCACAGGTTTCCCCTTTGCCTCCTGCCACCTCTTTACCACTTTTGTGAAGGTTCACAATGACCTGTTTTATTCTTTTCTCTGCAGCTGACAAGTACTGCCCACTGCTCATCAAAGAAGGTGGGATCCCCCTTCTGAAGGACATGATTAAAATGGCCTCAGCACGGCAAGAGACCAAGGAAATGGCCCGGTAGGAAACCAGTGTGCTACCATCAGACATTCACTTTAGCTTTAGCTAGGTTTTTTTCTTCCACATCAAGTAAGGCTACCAAAGAATGGCCTATATTGATGTGTGCAAGGAGCAAGAAGTGAACAAAGGAGAAGAGTAGGGGAAAGAGGATAAAAACAGAAGACTAGAGAGGTGTTTGTAGGTGGGAAATACACACAGATTGTACCAGGCAAATTTGTTATAGAAGTGGCTTGTCAGACAGTGGAGCCCCACAGCTAATTGCATCTCTTACACCAATAGTCTCCAGCCATCACTACTCACCATACTTGTGTGGGCTCCCTGTATCCAGAATCATGCATGGATCTGGCCACTGAACTTCCACGGGGAGGAACTGGGAGCTCTGAGCTGCATTTGTGGAGTACACTGGGTTTGACACAGATGTTGGTTGATGTGTAGCTCAGAAGGGACTGCCTGCTGCAAATCATACATGTTACATACACGTTACATAGAGATGGAGCTGTGGGACAGCAGTGTAAGAACTGTCCCACGACTGTCATGCAATAAGTTTTAAACTAAACCCTCTCTCCTTGTCCTTGTTTTATCCATAGGAAAGTTATAGAGCACTGCAGTAACTTTAAGGAGGAGAACATGGACACTTCCAGATAGAGGCAGTCCTCTAACGCCTCATGCCAGCACTGTATCCAGCTTCTCTCTAATTCACTGTATATAGGGAGGACTCTTTCTTACCAACACACCTGTTGGAAGGAAACTTTATGTGTGTGTGTGAGACCCTCAGTAGATGAAGGTGAACAGGGGAGGGGGGGGAGGGACTTTTTGCACAACAAAATGCTTTCCTTAAATTAGTGGACTTTTTTTTGTTATGAAGTTTCAGGTTGAAGTTCTGTGTGTATGATTTCTGTATAAAAAGAAAACAAACAAAAAAAAGCAAAGACAACTACACTATGTATCTTTTAACCTTTTTATTTTAGACCACACAGAGCCTCAAATGACCATGAGCTTGAAGACCTACTTGTGTGATCACTAGTGTGACGTTTTTATTTCCCACTTTTTAGAAAATTCCCTTTTGCTGTATTGCATGAGGTCCTGTAATGTCTGCAAGAACACCAGTCCCGAATTGGCATTGGCTGCTAAGTGGGGCTGCAGGCAGCAATGGGTTACTTACTTGGTTAGAGATGTTGGGGGACACAATACCAGAGAATTATAGCAAAAGAACGGACCTTTTCAGTGTTAATTGTAAAGGGAGGAAATGAAGAAGATCTTTCAAGTTAATTCACTCCCTTAAGGGTTTTTATAGAAGACTCACATTAATGGAAGCATTGCTAACTGTATGTGGGTCATTCGGAAGCAAGACATTCCCATTAAAGTCAAGAGGCCTGGTTTGTCCCCTTTGGCAGTGCAGTGGGATCTGCCAGCCCAGGTAGCCTCAAGACCAAGAATGACCAGTAAAACCATTTAGACATTCTTGGCTACATAGAGCTTTTCTCTCTAAGGGAGCCTGTGCAACAAGGAACAAGGTTTGTTCACAAAGGGCTACACATCTTCATTCAGGTCCTTCACCACCTTTTTACTTGTGTTCTGTTTTATGGGAAAGGGCTACAAATGCCAGAGACAGTATTTCCGCTCTGCATGGTAAGATCTACCAGGCCCTGGTCCAGAGTGGTATGAACCACTTGTCCAAGTCCTAGTAAGGTACTGGAGCTGCTCTGCTCTTCCTCAGTCTGCAGCAGTGCAAGTAATCTCCCTTTATAGGAAGCTTACTGCAGCACAGAGGATGTAACTGGAGGTGCCAAACAACCCTCCAGAGACTGGAGAGTCTCCAGGCACCCTAAGGAAAGCAGTCACATGAAATAGCACCTCTTGTTGCACCCCAGCATATTTCCCCTCTTCTGGGAAGCAGAAGGCTCTATCCTTACCTGATTCTATCACTTACCAGTGCAGTCCCACTTGCATCAGCAGCATTACTCCAGCTGATACAGTGTAGGTGAGAGGAGAGTCCTGCTGAGGTGGTCTTCACCCGGCAGGCTCTGGATCTCTAAAGGCTCAAGATACCACAGGCTGAGGCTTGTCTTGCAGCTGGGCACTCAACAACACACTCAGCAAAGGGCAATCCTTTGACTAGAGCCCTCTGCTTGCCACAGTTCTCTCACGAATATTCCTACAGGAAGGATTCAGGAAAGAGTCCATGTCTGGCAGCAGTAAGAGGAGGCCACAGCCACATGTGTTCAGACATTTCAGGCCTCAGCACAGTAACCTTCGCTGCTCTCTTCCCTTGTATACATTGCTCTCAGATTTGACTCGCTGCTATGAGGTTCTTCTAATGCTCAGAGTTAATGTTGTCATTGCTGAGCACGTTATAGACAGATCCTAGATACACAAACTGACACTTTAAATGACACAACACAGCTGCCCTGGACAGGTTTACTTTTTCTGCCAATACGGTGTTATTCAATGTCTTTTTAACCATACGTCATTTGTTTTGGTATTGTGAGATCTGTACTTTTTTCTTTTAAGTATTTTTCAAACTTATATATATTTTTGTGTCACTTTGGAATTGTTTTCATATGGTTTGCAAAACTTGACAAATTATACTTTTTTTTTTTTGCAGTTGTTTGAATGAAATGTATTTTCCTCTCTGTCATTCCTGTTCCCCAAGGATTTGTGTCCCTATGAGCTTTGAGACAGGGAGGCTTATTTCAAGGTCTGTTTTCTGTGTAACATTTGCTAATCTTCCTTCTAGATGCACACCTAAGAGGGGAGTCAGGCTCATTTAATTCTCCATTTAGTGCTGCTGACCTTCTGAAGTTGCTTCCTGTGACAGTGCCACCCACTAAGGCTTCCTCCTTTCTAATACCCGTATAGTGAAAGCTCCTACCATTAAAGTCTTGAATCACTTGACATAACCCATGGAGATTAATGGAGTCAGGTCAGGCTGACAGAAAAGCTTAGCTTTCTGAAATCTGCCACTGAGCCCAGGGGAAGGGGGAGGTGTAACTGCTCTGTAATAGCCAGCTACACATAAGATTCTGAGTCAGGCCACCAGCAAAGTAAGTTCCCGAGATAGCATTTTAAATGAAATAGCATCCCTGTTAGAGTGATGTGAGCTTTGGCTACAAGCTTCCATGTCTTCAAGCCAAAGGACTTTGTGAGCTGAAAAATAACATTTCCATTTCAGTAAGGGGGAAAAGAGAGTAAAGTATCCTCTGAATAGCTGAGCAGAATCCATAAAGTCCTAGAATTGGACGTTTAAAACTAGTTTGTACCTCCATTTTCCTAACTGAAAGCACAGGAGCTGTTGCACCCTGGGCATAATGCAGGTACCATGATCCACAAGCACTTTTTGGAGGCAAAGAGGTGTTAATTACTCAGGACAGAACAGGGTAATTATCTGCAGCCATCACACCAATATTCTGTAAAGGAGGGGAGGGCAAAGTGGCTGATTTTTTATGAAGGTCTAGTGTAAAAGGGGAAGTTGCATACTCTGAAATGTTTGACTGTTAGAGAAGCCTCTCAGGCCTTCTGGCTTTGCTGGAGCAAACAAATGAACCTGGAGACTTCAACTCCATGCAGAATTATAGAGCCAAGAACCAACTCTGCCTAGAAAACTAGAACAAAATCTCTGTCAAATGAGAATTCAGCTGCAGAGAAGTTCATAGTGTGTAAAGATGTGGCAGAGGGGCTCTTCATGCTCTGTAGCTGTTGTTCTGTTCAACCTGTTCTTCACGTTCTCACTACTACATTTCCTTTAATATTCAGAAGCATGGCAAACAGAGCACAAACACAACTCAGTAGCTCTCTGCAGAGACTGTGCCATCAAAGGAACCCTCTACCTTGACTGTATGTAGTTTCTATCCTGGCTGGAAGGATGCCTTCATGGTTCAGTAGCCCAAGTCAATGACTTGGCCAAGTCAAAGTCCTCAACATGCAGAGTGTCAGGTGACTGCCATTTTCTGTGTGACAGATAAGAAAGCAAATTAGTGGGCAGCCTTTCACAAGTGCTTCCATTTTACAGGATCTGTGGGAGGAACTGCTTATAAGGATTGGCATCTACTTGTATGAAGTTAAGCGTTCAGCAGCACCAGACTTTCTTATTTAGTCCAAGCCGAAAAAGTTTAACAGTGATTCTTGTGGCAATTAGTAACATTGCAGATAATTCATCTGCCCCATCTGCGTGATGGCTGCTATCACCCTGCACCTGCTAGATGAAATGTTTGGTCTCTGTGAAAGATAAGGGGGAAGAAAAGTCTTAAGAGTTGTGAGCTTAGTCCCCTCTCATCACTTGAAGGCAATAATTACCCGCAGGAGAAGAGCTGTAGGGGCACTGCATTCAGGCATTGCTCCACAGAAATGACATTTTCTTGAGACTGTTTAGGGAGGAGCTGCCACAACTCAGGTGTTAGAGGGGAGCTTGTGCTAGAAAAAGAGAATTAAAAGCAGGGAAATAGCTGGTCTCCACAACAGCCATCTGTAAGAAGCACAGAGGGTAAGAGTAGTCAGGAATGGATGAAAAGCAACATGGGGGGCTGAATGAGAAGACAACACTTAAAAGGAATGAGGGAGATCTACTGACATGAAACACTTCTGCTTTAGCAGACTGTTTGATTTCATCGAATTGTCACTGATTCTCTCTGTAATTCTTTCCTTGTTTAAAAAAAAAGTTTTTAAGCTAACCAAATGTGTATTTCCTTGTTTTGCTTCAAGAAAGTAACCTCAGTTACAATGAGCAAGTGTCTGCTTTTACTCTGTCCACTCACCTGCCTAATGTTGAAAGGCCTGGTTCAAATGTTTGTACATGGTGAAACCAAGCAAAAAAATAATAATGCACAACTGTTGCTTCCTTACAATTCTGAATGAATTAACTTTTCTGTTGTATCCATTGGATACCCGCTGTGTATTAAACCTAGTGCTTAACAATGTCTTCTTCCTTTGGTCTATGAATGTGGTTCATTTAGGTACGTTACTGCTCCATTTGCTGTCATGTGTTTAATTGCAGATGAAAGGAACTGCCATGTGTTGATGATGCTGTTCAGTGGCTTTTCCTTTCATCACTCCAAAGGATACAATAACTGTTTGTCCATAGAAGAGAGGCATGGAGGAAGGGAGTATTGTTATGGAATTATGGGAGAGAAGGAAAAGAAATCAGAACAATATTTGCCTGTGCATATTGCCTCTGAACTCTGCAACGGATCTGTGGCTTATATTCCACAGCCCAAGCTTTGTAAGTGGGCAGAAACTGAGTACCTAAGACTGCGGCTTAAAACAATCAATCTGCTTTAAGGCTGGTGTGACTTTCTTATGACCCTGGTCCTGCAAGCGTTCAAGTACCAGTTAATTCAATGGTCAATGTAAACTCTAAAGGATCACACTCTGGCTGGCTGAAGGAGGAATCATGTGAAACAACTACCTCTGGGAAGCTGAAAATGTACTGTGTTGTAAGAGTACAAAGACATGCTCCCAGCTTCCAGGAGCATGAAATACCTAGCTGGAATACCACAAGAACCTAGCTTCTCCACTCAAACTGACTAGTAGAGACTTTTCTGGAGCTAAGCCTAATTTTAACCAGTCATTTAGGTTGAAACCCTTAAGGCAGAGATAAGCTCTGATCTCTGTAAGCCAGAAATATAACATGCACCAAATTGTTTTAATCACAGAGAGAGAGAATACATTTCTTAAGACAGACTTTTCTAGAACATAAGAACGTTTCTACTTTCAAGTGGGTAATATTGCTACTACGCAAATTGCCTTCACTAAGCTTTAAAATTTACACCTCTCTGCAAAGAACGGAAAGACACTACCCACCTTCTCTTTCTGTTTGTAGATAGAGCCTGATGGTGCTGTTCTGAGCTTCCTACTGTTCTGCAAGGCTTCCTTTGCAACTCAAGGAAGGGAAAGGTTTTCAGGATATTTAAAGCAGGCAGAGAGTAGCAGGGCCACCTCACATACAAAGTGAGGTTTGACAAGCCCTGATGCAGTCTATGAGGTGTCTGAGGGACAATTTTTGTATGGTTTGCATTTACCTAGAACAAAAAAGAAAGCAAAAGGATTTGAATGACTGTTGGAAATGTAAACTATGTTTTTCATTAACATTTCAACACAGCTGTCTCACGAAAACCATTTTAAGCCAGGTGCTTTCCTGGAATCAGCAGGTGGCCACTGACTCAAAGAGACCAAATCAAGAATACCCCCCTTGTGGTCAAACAATACCAAGGAATCTGATAGGTTTTAAGTTTAAATGTGCAAAGAATGTGATTTTCCTGTCAAAATTTTTACTGGGAAAGAAGGTAACAACCTCAGCAAGATACATCTGTGTTAAAACTGAAGAGTTTAAAGAGAAAAAAACCTGATTTCAGAACTTTTAGAGGCCTGTGATGAGATTCATTTCCCCTAAACCAACACTCAGAGTGTAAATGTGTACATTTAAGCTAGTCATCTTTGCTTTCCTTACTGTTAGCAAGAGATTAAAACCAACATATCTGGGGTGCAATTCAGCTGCTTTCAGATGAATGACCATTCTCTAGACTAGCTGGCTTCCCTCTGCTGCTGTCAGGGCAGTCTGCAGACATTGGAATTCAGCTCAGCTCCCACCCACCCCAGCAGTCTCCTGTTGAAAGTGTGTCAAACGTTTCACAAGCTAAATGTGTTCAGCCAGGCAGAACCTCTGCGCTTCTTCCTAGGGGACAGAAATCAACACGTGAAATAAAGTGGCACGACCGGAGTTCACCCAAACAGCACCTTGCCCCCTTCACCTTCGAGCAGCACACCTCTGCGAGACTCCTATTGCTCCTATCTACATTGAGCAGCATTCGCCTCGGGTTTAACTGTGAGGTGCAGGGGAGTTTAACCACCCCGTGCTCTGTGCTCCCCATGGTACTCACGGCCGGGGACAGAGGGGCCGCGTGGATCCCGGGGTTCAGGGAGGGAGGACAAGAGCGAAGGGAGCTGAAGGAGGTGGAGGGCCAGCATGCAGGACGGTGTGAGGGGATGAAAGGCGGCCGGCAGGCTGCAAGGGAGGGAGGGGGGAAACAGACCTCGGTTCCCACTCGGGGGAGCCGAGCCTGAGGTGCTGGCAACGGCCCAGGCCACCTCATAGCAGACCCGCGCTCCGAGGACGGCAACGGCCGCTCCTCAGCGGAGCCCCGGCCGCAGGCACCGCCCTCGGGAGCCGCCCGCCCTTCCGGGCCGGCGGGCGCCATGGGTGGCGGGCGGCTGTGGGTGAGGGTGGCACACACGGCCCTCAGCTGTGGGCTGGCGCTGGGGCTGTTCCTGCACCGCACAGGTGAGGCGGGGCCGCTGCGGGCCTCCCGGGCACGGGACCCTGCCTGACACGGGGAAGGGGCGGCCGAGGGCTGGGCCAGGCCCGCCCCTGAGCAGAGGAGGCTGCGGGCCGGGCTCCGGCTGCGCCATTGGGGAGCGCGGGTGTTCTCCGCCGTGCCTCGGCCTCTGGACCTGAGAGCAGAAGGGAACCATTACCGGGCTCTTCCATTGCTCCTCCCGTAGGGATGCGGGAGCCCTTTGTTAGGGGTAGAGAGAAAAGCCCTAAAGGCTTCACAAGGAAGCACTGCTCTCCTTTTCAGATCTGCAAAAGCAAGAGGAGCGCGGGGAGCTGCTGCAGCCGCTGATCTTCGTCTCGCTGGTTTTGTGCTCGATCCTGCTGTACTTCAGGGTGTGTCTCATGGACCCAGGTTTTGTTAAGGCTGAAGAGGAAGAGAAGGTATAGCACTTCATGAATGGAAGAAAGTGGTGAGGCTATAACTTCTATACGCTTTTCGTTTCTCCACTCTGTTAGATAACAACAACCTGCTTCTGTTGCACTTGGCATAAAGGAAACCTACATGGACCACTGGAGATCAGGATGGACAGTGTCCAAATCATATTCTGTGACAGCAGTAGGGTTCATAGACTTTAAGTGTGTCTTTTACACCACATCCCCCGTTCTAAATGCACTGTGCCATTTGAGCACAAGTCCTCTTTCTCACATCAGACTGCAGTACCCTATGGAATGTATACATGACCTGTTTTATGCTAACTACTGCTAAGTGGTACAAGTGCAAAAAACCAACTGGCAAGCTTGGAAAGAAAGCAGGCTCTGCAGCTCTATTGAACTGTGTATAGATTTGTTGTCCTCTCAGTGGACATGTACACATACAAGTTACAATGAAGTAAAAAAGATGCAAAGTTTCAGTAACAGAGATAGTCTGCTTCAGGTTAGCTGCCTACAGATTGTGTAGGACAAGGTTTAATCATCCATCATTGAAGTACATGTTGGCTGTGCTAAAAATAAGTAGCACTGCTTATACAGAAAAGATACCATTACTGTGTTTGGAAGCAAAGTCTAACCTTGTTTTTGTCCCAAAGCGTAGCCTCAGGATCAGTGTGGTATCTTGCCCACAGTTACTTCTGCCTCTGAAAACATGCTTTTGGTGGTTACAGTAGCCTGTTTTCTCTCGCTGTACATTAACTGTCTGCAGCTCCTGTAGGGATTTGAAGAAATTACTCTGCTTAACCTTCTTAATGACAGAGAGAACCAGCACTGCTTAACTATTAACTAAAGGATACAGACAGCTCAGTCATGGCACAGCAGCAGCACACAAAGCCTCCTTAGTTAGTCCCTTTCTCTTTTTTTGTAGGCAGAGAAGAGTGAAGAACAAAGTGTGGTCATACCTCTGGTTCCAAGTAATGTTAAGCTGCGGCGTTGTGGTTACTGCATGGTGAAGGTAGGTGTTCATGGGGAAAGTAGGCATTTGTAACACACTAGAAGAGGATGGCATGGGCAGTTCCCAAGCTTACATGTTTTGGCAACCTCTTTGTTCAGCAGCTGTTGCTTTTCTATCATTGCTGCTCACTGCTCAGGGGTTTGGAGGCATGGCAGATCTGATTGATTCTATCAAAGGGTCACCCTTCTGCTGAAAAACTCACAGAAAAAATAAACACAAGCAAATTGAATTCCGATACAGTTTTGAATTGAAGTGGTCCAAAGGAACTGTGTAGCTAAAGATGTAGTCATAGGCATTGGCATGTGAGCTGGTTTTCCGGGGCTGAAACCCCTGCTGGCTTACAGAAAGAAGGATCTTCTTTTACTTCTTACTGCCATGTCAGTCAGACCTTACAGTATTGTCAAAAAGGTTATTTTGAAGATACTGTGATAAGGCAGCCAAGCATGACATACAAAAACTTGCTATCTCTATCATTTGGAGGCCTAAACCCAGCAAAACATTAGTCTGAGTTGCAAAAGACAGCATGAAGGAAAAATTAGAGCAATTAGATTAGCTCTTAGAATAGTTTGCCTAAAGCCTAGAAAGGCCTGTTTTCACAGTGATGCTTATCAGTTTAATAAAATCAAGCATTATCCTAGCTTCCATGAATTCCTGAAGAGTGTCTACCAGAAGTGAGCTTATTACAAGAGGAAAAACTGGCAAGACATATATACATATGCCTTGGGGAACAAATCCTAGGGGGCACTACTTTTCTCAGCCAGATATTTCATATTCTCTGTTCCTAGCAATTGAGTCACTTTCCTGTGTCTGTGTGTTGTGTTTCCCCAGCAGCAAAGACATTTCCCTCCTCCATGCAGTCGCATAAGAACATCCCATCTCTGACCACTTTATTCAATAGTCGAGGTCCTAGCTTTCCACATCAATCGTGAATAGACTGACTGGCTCTAGCTCCCTCCCTTACACACTGAACTTCCTATAAGTAAGTAGTTTAAAAAATATAGCTAGAAGTAGTGCTGGAGAATAATTTAATTTGGAACTCATTCATTTGGATCTTTACCAGGTTGATCACGATCCCCTTTAGTTGTCTTAGCAGTGTATGTTGTGGTGTTCTCTCAAAAAAGAGTGTTTTTGGGACAGTACTGCTGTGGAGGAAGGGAGTTTTGCGTGATGTTCTCTTCTACCACACTAGCACAACCACAGTAAAAGGTTACTGCTAGTGGTTTTCTTCTCTTTTTGTTGGTTTGTGTTTTGCAGCAGCCGATGCGAGCCAGGCACTGCCAGCTGTGCCAGCACTGCGTGCGGCGCTACGACCATCACTGTCCCTGGATTGAGAACTGCATAGGAGAAAAGAATCACCCCTTCTTTATAGTCTACCTGAGCGTGCAGCTTGTTGTGCTGGTGTGGGGAGGTCAGGTTGCTTGGTAAGGCCTTGAGGCAGCACTCTGACCTCTGAGATGGCTAAATGTTCTGATGCTGCTAGAGTCCCACTGAAGGGGTTATGTAGAGCAAAGCAGTAATTGTAGGCTTTGGATCTTCACCATCTTTGCACCCTGGAGCCCCCTAATCTGCTGAGGGACAACATAGCTGAGCAGTAGTTGAACAGAATCTGATAATTTAGGTTTCATATTCATCATTAAGATTTAATTACCAGAATTCACAGCAGTACAAAAGCTGATTTTGCTTCAATTACTCTAATAAGACCTGGGTTTACAAATCCAAGTACTGGAAACACCAACGGGGTTTCAGCCTGTTCAGGATGAATTAACTGAAGGTGATTGTCTCAGCTGTCAGGGGAACCAGTATCTTTTCAACTTCTTAGATACTAAGTCGCTATTGGTGCAGTCTCTTAAGAGTTTATTAACTCTTAAGTAACAGTATATTAACAGTATAACTCTGTAGAACATGATTATCAGAAGTTCAGTAGTTATGTACCAATTTACATGTTCCATCAAGGTCACTTGGCTTTTGGAATTAGCTCAGCATTTTTAACCATGGATTTATTGCTCTTTGAATTGACAGGTCAGGCCTCTACTTTGAACTGTCCTGGGAGTGGCTGAATCACAACATTTTCCTCCTCACATCCTTTCTCCTGATAGTTATATTCACCATTGTTGTTGTGCTGCTGCTCATTTCACACCTCTATCTGATCTCATGCAACACCACCACCTGGGAATTCATGTCACATCATCGCATCTCCTACCTGCGACACTCTGAGTTGGAGAATCCCTTTGACCAAGGGGTCATCCTCAATCTCTGGAGATTCTTCTGTTCATGCCACCTGACTGCATGGGAGAAAATCTATTTTCACAGGAACAATGAGCCTGTCTAGTCACAGCAGCACCTACCTGGTAGAGTGCCAACACATCTGCTGCGTAAAGCTTTGCTAATGCAATTGCTGCTCTTGCCTTAGATGGAACTTCAGTACATCATGAACTATGCAGCTTATTCCACAACCTGTTCATCCTGCAGATTACACTTCAAGGATAAGTCAGGGTTATTTTTTTTACATATGAATAACACTGTTAAACACTGGGTCTGGGAAGGGCAGCAGAGCCGAGTTCTGGATGGAGCAAAGGTCCAAATTTACTTCCTTTTGCAACTGCATCCATATCTCCCCAGAAGAGACAAACGAACAGTGTGATCATCCACGTTCACTTCCCCAAAGCTTCCCTCTCTTTCTGCTGCCAAGGAACAGCAATTACAGACAAAATCAGCCAGAATCAATATAATTCCTGTGGCCTTTCTTCAACCTAGTTCTCACTGTGAGAACTGCAGTGCCTTTTGTCAGTAGTGTTAGGCACGTAATAGAAATACTTGAGTCAATATTTGGATAGTCAAAGGCAAATTTCATTTTGACCACATGCCTCAACTTAGTGCTTTTTTACCAAGATCTGAGGCTTTAATAGTGTTAATGTGCATGAGAAACAGCTGTAAAACAGTACATTCAGATTATGAGATAATTAGCCTGTACTTTTTTATGCCCTGACCAGCTTCCTGAGGGTTTTTTCTCTAAGCTGATGGTGCTGTTAACAATTCACAGACTATTTTTGAATCAACTCAGCAAATAATGATACCAACATACTTACGTACAGAATTATTTCTGCAGATAACTTCATGCTCAGGCCTTTACTGTAGCTTGTGGGGAGAGAACCAGTAGCAGAGGTGGGTACTTCTTGCCTAGCCCCAGTAACACTATTGGCAATATTACTACCTCAACTAATAAAAGTTTATAAAAGAATACCAAGTTTCAGTGCACGAGGAAAGATTGTAGGTCCTATGTGTTCAACTGAGATGAAGGAGTGCTGACTGACAGCCTTCTAGGATAGCAGCAAGCTTACTTGTGTTCCAGTGGAATAAAAGGTCACACTTCCATAATGAACTAAAGAAAGTATGGGATGACCAATTTTAACTTTAAAAGTAGAAAAGGCTGTGGTGTGAAGTTTAGTCCTGAGCCTTTTCTGTAAGAAAACCCCCAACAAACCAAAATCAACAACAAAAACAAACAAGCAGCAAAATAAAATTTAACATTAAAATGATTTTGTGCCTTAATTGCCTTGGCTCAGGAAATGCTCCAGCTCAAGAGCACATCTGGTGAGCTGGTAGAATGCACTCAGGATTTAAAGCTGATGAGCACTCATGGAAGGACAGTGTAGTCATTAACACAGCATGATAGTCCAAAAGCAGAAGAGCATCCCTTTTTTTACCAACTCCAGTGCTTGTGATCTGTTTCCAGTCTGGTTAGTTCAGGGTAGAAACTCCTATCAGAGGGAAATCAGAATGCTAAGAATTATTTTCATAACAATGGCATATCATCCAGAGAAGATTCTGCAGTTTGTGTCAGTGTGGCTCATTGGCCACATCACGATCTCTGGTTCTTCAGGTATCAGTCAAACAAAAGCTCCTCAGCAGATACTACAACTCAGAACACACAGTTTTGCTCTGCTTGGTAATTCTTTTTAGAATGCACCAGGATGGTAATTTACTGTCTTTTCTACTGGATTAAAAGATTAAATATGCCTTTTTTTGGTTATGCCTCCTTATTTGAACCCAAGTTCTAGATTTCACTGTGCTAACAATCCACTATACACAGGCTTTGACCTTAAGAAAAGTCACAAAACACACTGTAGGAGCCAACAGCAAGCCAGGCAGTACTGTTCAAACAAAGGGCAGGAAAATGCACATCCTGCTTTAAAAGGGTCATTAGACTGCAAGGCAGAGCAGGAGGATGAAGGATATTTGAAAACAGGGATTTCAGATGCAGTTATAATTGGCTCTGAAAAGATTAAATCTGGATTCAGTGTGAATTACCTGTTTTGCACAAACATAGCTCTTACCTCTCTGAATTCTTGACCAGCCTTGATGTAACAGTGACAACTCATTACCTGCACTGAGCCTTATCTCCATATACAGCACGATTGCACTGCTTCAACTTCTGTCTACCTCTGTTGGAGACAAACTGAAAGAGTAATAGCTGTGGGTTCCCTATTTGTGATCAGTATGATGCTTCATTTCTAGATACTCTTGCACTTTTTTTTTTTGCCCAACAAGCTAATATTATGAATTTAAGAGAAAAAATGTATCTTACCAAGTATAATTACAACACATGTTACCAGGCAAAGGAAATCACCTTTAACTTACTGATTTTCCAGTGTTAACACTGTAATTATTTGACTATCCCAACAAAAGGTACAGGATATTGATAACATCTGTGGAGAGACAATTTGACTACAGTCATTTGTCTGTGACAGTGGATGATACCATGCAAGGTGTACACAGACAACTTCACTGAGAGAGAGGGAGGGAGGAAGGAAGGCAGGAAGGAAATGCTACTATTAACATTTACAGAGAAAAATAAAAATTTGCCTGTTGGACAGAATATGGTTAGCCCTGACCTGAAACACTCAGCTAACACAAAGGAGATGAAAAGCTGAGATTTCATTATAAGAAATGGTTTCTTTATTTTCAATAATAGAATGTGCAAAGCTGTGGCTTCTTCATATCATTAAAAACAATATTTGAGATTTAGCATCCTCAAAGAAGTAGAAAGAGACTCATTTTCCTCAAGATAAATCACTCAGATCATTGTCAAAACCAAGTTATCATTGTCAAACCCAAGTTATCATTGTCTTGGTTGTGTTAAAATCTAGTCCTTCTCTGGCATACACATAATTATGAGTGGGAATGAGCTTAAAAATCATTACAAAGAGGGAATGCTGTATGTATCTCTTTTAGACAACAGCTGAGAAGTGGCCATTCCCTCTAATACTATGCAACTTTAAAAAGCTGTGCTACTTACTTAGGCTTTTTGCAAAGAGTAACCTGGGTTGCAGAGATTATTTGATTTCATTAAATTAAGTCCATCTTAAATTCCACACTTCCATCTATATGTAATGGCAGCAGAAGATAAATCCAGTCAAACTAATTGCTCCTTAAAAACAACTGACATCCAGTATCCCTCCAGCAAAGGAGGCTGAAAAAAAAACCCACAGGAGGTTAACTCAGCTTGTGGGGCACTCTCATCCCAGGGTCATCAGCACTACTACCAGATCTGGTAGATCTTTTGACTTTTCCATTGCTCACGCCAAGTCCTCTGTTCGCTCTCTCAAGGTGGTAACAATCTGGTCATGTTTTTTATAGCTCGAGTCAAACATCTAAAAGGTGCCTGGAAACAAAGTCAAAGTCCTTGAAGACATTCTGCTCCTTACGGGTTAGGAGAGCAACCTCCTCAGGAGGAGTAAGGATGGGCTTTTGTGATGTAAACTCTTCATCGAAGTTGCTAATGTCAGTTGGGTCTCTTAGAGTGGGCACAAAAGGGGGCTTCAGAGTCCTGGCCAACAAGGCATCCCAATCAATTCCCTGTAAGAGAAGGAAGTGAACAGACCAAATTGACGTTAAGATTATTTATGAAATGAGATGTTTATGGCTCACAAGGTAGGTGCACTTGTACCTAGAAGCAGCACAATCAGAAATAAACCAGTTCTGGGAGCTTATAGATCCCAGAATACACTCTTGGGAGATGTCATTTCAAACATGAAATACATTCTGGAATAGAGCACTGAAGTGCAATAGAAGCTACCACTAAAATCTCACTGATGACTAATAGGAAACATGCCTCCATATCAACAGAAAGTATATCACTCTCAGCTCAAGCACAAGAGATGAGGAGGAGGGATAAAGTGAGTTCCTACCTTAAAAAAGGCCTGGATTTTAATCTCTTCTGCATCTTTTTCCCCTGCTCCCAGTCTACGCTCTGGACATTTCCGAAGAAGCTGCAGGAAATATCAGGTCAGAATTAAACACTGGGAACAAAGGTGGACAGAAATCATATTCCAGAGGGGGAAAAAAAAAAAAAAGGAAAAAGAAAGGAGATGGACTGACCCCTTGGTATCTTCTCATTCTCATTTTGCAGCAAGGTCATAAATCTGCTAGTAATAGCTCAGACCTAGCTCCTTGTAAATAACTTGCCCGCATCAATGAGACACCTGCTATAAACTGCATGAAGCATCTCATCTTAATTGTGAACCACTGACTGCTGGGTTACATTTAAAAACTGAATGACTCTGACATTCCTGCCCTTGAATCAACACTTTTCCATGTCAGACTTGGCAGAAACAGCCCTCAGTAAGAAGTCTGCTTAGTCATCCTTAGAAGAATAACATTTATGTAAAGGGAAGGAAAGGAAAAATATGTGTAAATGTTAAATGTTTCCTTAGTCTGCGCAGGCAGCTCCAGATTACACACACAAATGTTATCCAGTCCTAATAGAGTCCCTCTGGATCCACTTCCACAATAAATGCAAATTCCTCAGGCTCTCAGCAACCCATCAAGCCCATTACCTTCCGGATTATGGTAAGTGCCTCAGATGAAAGGAATCGTGGATACCGGACTTCATCATTGACAATGCTGTCAAAGACTTCCTCCTCATCGTCTCCAGGGAATGGTGACTGCAATTGGGACATCTGATTATTCAATCTACATAGCACCCATTCCTCACTATTAAATAGGATGAAAATAGTATACAACTGTATGAATTAGTGTTTGGCAAGCACTATGAGTGAGTAAAATGTAATTTAAGTACTAATAGTTGACTGCATTCAGCAAAGTGTTATCTTACGTGGTTGGGTGCTATTGCCACAAGCCCGTTTAGGGAAGTCCTCTTAAAGAAAGGTCTTACCTCGCCAACAAGCATCTCATAAATGAGTACACCCAATCCCCACCAGTCTACTGCCCGAGTGTATGAGATGTCCGTCAGGACTTCTGGAGCCAGAAATTCAGGGGTGCCACAGAAGGTGTTTGTGCGGTCTCCAAAACCTATTCCTGTAGCAAAAAGAACACTTGTAAAACCCAGCACACATTACTAAATGGACCACATGCAGCCTCACCTTCTGGAAGCCACAGCTTATCACTGATAATCTAATGTTGTTAACCAGGCAAGGGTTCTCTTTAATGTCTGTAAACAGCAATAGCAGGTATGAAAACTGAGGCCCTTGACAACTCCAAATAATATACAGACAATGCTTACAGAAACAGAAAAAACAAGGCAATTCCCTGCAGATTCCATTGCTCATTTACTCAAGTACACATTTTTGTAGCATCCTCTATTCTGCCTCCTTTGAACAAACAAACATATTATAAACTCTTTTGTGAGCTTCCTGAAGATGAAAGGACAAAGTTCTCTTTCCAAGTTCATCATGGCCAGACAAGTGAGGGTGTTTTGTTGTTTGGTTTGTTGGGGTTTTTTGGTCTTGGTGGGTTTTATTTTGTTTTTAAGATGGGGATCAATGTAAGTTACATAGGACCACCTCAGTATCTGAAGCCCAGACCCTAAACTGGTTCTGATGGTTTAACTTCAGCTTCAACAGAGTCACTCACCTTCCTTACACAATCCAAAATCTGCAATCTTCACAAATCCTTCAGCATCTAAAAGCAGATTATCCAATTTCAGGTCCCTGAAGGTAAAGGAGAAGAAAGAAAATGGTGGATGAAGTCCTAGGATTGCCATCCAACATTTTTTTTTGCACAAGAGGTGGAAGCTAAATGTTAATAAAATCAAATTTAAATCAAGCAAAGTCTGCATTTGTTTTAAATTATGTATTATTTGAAAGATTTCCCTTATGTTATTGATGTTTTCCTCTTAATGAAAGTCTCACAAAGCAGCCTGGAGCTGAGTGGGGCTTATTCATCTGGAAAAGAGCACCCCACAACAGCATGACACATTACTTGACTATGACAGTAGAAAAGAAAGCAGTGACATACAGGTGCCCCCCAGAACGTACTGACATGTCAGAGAGGACTAATCACCTGCAACATGTCAGGTGAATAGCTTCTAGATGACTTTCTTTACTTTAAACACGATGAACATGCTGATAGCAGCAGGCGATGGGGAAAATAAAGACAGGCAGAAAGATTAGAGACCCTAGCAAGATAGTGAGCTCCAGATAGGAAAAATCAACTTTCAAGTTGCTGGACTGCCTTATTTGTGAATTTTTGCTTCTTTACCTATAAACAATTTTCTTCGCATGCAAGAACTGGAG